TAAATAATACTGCAGAATTGTATCTATATAGATGCTGGCAAGTAACCCCAGCAGGTTGCCCACATTGGCAAGGTGGGACAGACAGGGCAGAAGAAGGGCTGGAACAGAAAACCACCCTTTGCATTGAAGGAGTTTGGGATGTGGTGCTCCAGGTACAAGGAGCCAAAGGGTGTGTTGGTTCCACATTTGCAAAGCTTTGTGCTGTGGACATATTTTAAACAGGGGTAAACCTGTTTGTGTGCTGCAAGAGACTCACTCTGAGTAATTTGCAGAGTTTTTACAGCATCCAGGTCCAGAAGGTTTTACATTTCTTGTATCTGTGTGTGCTTTGGTTGCTTGTCTCCATTTCATCTCCTCCTCTGTTTCTCTATTTCATACCCCCTGTAGTATTTTTTTAGACCCCCTCTTGCACTCACACACTCTTTAGTCTAACTTTTCTCATTTTCCATCTCATTGCTTTTGCTTCCTGCCATGTCCCACTTGGTGAAGCAGCTCCAGCAGGTATGTGCCTTCCGAACTGCTCCCTGCTGTCTCCTTGGTGGTTATGCTGGGGATTCAAGGGTGGTGCAGAACCCAGTTATTTTGCCTTATCGCTTCTGTTGTCTTTACTTTCTACCTCTCCTCTGTGACCAGCTGTGCTGCAGACTAATACGCAGGAATAGTCTCAGTGCAAAGTCTGACAGGTGTCGGTACCTCTCCTCTGTGACCAGCTGTGCTGTAGACTAACGCAGGAATAGTCTCAGTGCAAAGTCCGACAGGTCTCAGTGGTAATCCTGCCTCTCTGCCCCTCCTGCCCTGTGCAGTGCTCACCATAGAGCCCATCTGGGCAATGGCAGGAAGTTGTTCCTCTAAAACTAGAATTAGAGGGAAATTTCAGCATGTGTTATTTGAGCTTACTGCAAGATTTTCCCTCTCTGATATGTTTTTACCTCTTCCCTTCATATAGTGAAGTTGTTTCCTCATGTGCCTCAAATTCCTTCCCCTCATAGCCATTAGCATGTCCTTTACTGGGATAAAAGTTTTCCCTCTGTCTGAACAGACTTTTCAGCTTGTGTATTATCACCTCATGTAACAATGTATTTCTCCTAATGTTCCTTTGCATCCTGTCCTGTGGCTCTTCCCACATAAAGAGGAAGGTATGTGACATGACTCCTGAATTCCCATCTTTCAGAGTAAGCTCTGGTTTAGCCAGTAAGCCATAAGTTGGCAAAAAGAAACAGGAGTTACAAATAGGCATATTAATATAGACTAACACTTGCAACCATTTTGTTTATGTACTACCTTCCTTCATGTTCTGTCTTGATGTTGAATGCACTGGTGATGCTATGTGGTAATTGTTGCACGAAAAAAAAGCCTGAAAACTGCTGGGAAATGTAAACCTCTTAAAAGGATGAATGTTGAAAAGCATTCACTCTGAGACTGGTTGGGACTCCCTGGGAAGCTTATTTTGGACCATTCAGGGTGGGTCTGGCCTCTGGATGATGTGCAGATGTGTTCATGATGGGCTGATGTTCTCACAATAGCCTTTCCACATGTCTTTTTTTCCAGCTTAAACACTGTGGTATAAAGCAAACGGTGATGAATTTTATGCTTTAGCTTTGCAAGTGATTAAAGATAGTTTTCTTGTGCATATAATGGAGTTTCTAGACCACTTTCTCACGGTAGCACTTGCAGGCACAAAAAATCTGCTGGCCTCAGGTTGTAAATCCACTTGGGCAAGTGTCAGGGTTGTGACACAGCATGGTGCCCTGGGCTTTGTGCAGGACTGCAGGAATTGGGTGTATAATACAAATGTTATCTGCTTTATGTTTTTGTTATCTCAGACCATTTGTACCCTTGCTTCCAGTACCACTTCTCATACCTGTATTAATTTCATTTCCTTGCCATATATTCTCAGTCCTTCCCTCCCACTCTGTTTTGCACGAGTGAAAAGTTGTTCTGATGTTTCTAACTCTCTCATCTTACTTTGCATTTTGCTCTGTGCCTCCTCCCACACGCGAAAGCTTATGAGGAAGGTATGTGCCGTGACTTAAGAATTCCTCTGTTTCTGTCTGAAACAGTAACTCGTGCAGGAATTCTGGAGGTGGTTGAAGATGAGATGATGCAAAAATATCCTCTGCACGGCTCCTTTGCCCTCATAGAATAAGCAGTGTGATGAGTAATAAGCACTAACTGCTGCTTGAAAACAATGCCTGAAGCACAGGGTGGGCATTGCTTCTGTATTCCCCAACACTTGATGTCTCTAACCAGGCTATTGGTATGGAAACCAGTTCGTACAGGGGTCCCCAAAAGATTTCCTCTGCGCCATGCACTGGGGTTAGAGGTGGGAGAGCCATGTTCTGTGGCAATGCTATGTTCCTTGGTTGGGTGCACCTCTCCCTCCTGTCACCCCACCACCGTGCAGGGACAGAACTCCCTTTTGCAGCAATGTATGGTGATGTGAAGAGACTTGAAGTCATGAGAAACAAGTGACACTCTGTCATACCTAGTTTTCTGTTGGGCTAAGGACTGGACCAAGTGGCATCATTTTGGTTGCAGCGTATTTGAGGAAAGATGTAGTGTGTGCTTTTTCCATAACTAGTGGTATGTTTCTGGGTTAATGTGTATTATATAAAAAGGGGGTAGCAGGGCCGCATTTTTCTTTGATTTTATAAACTGAATAAAAGTCCAGATCTGGTAAGACAATCTGTGTGATTATAGGAGGTCATACTTATTAAATAGGAGGTCATACTAATTAAAGCATCAGCCTGGCAGCCCAAACCCGTTCACCCTTCAGTTGCCCTTTTGCCTGCCCCTGTCTGCATGCCCAGCTAGGCTTTCATCAGATGGTTTATCCTGCAGGCTGGAGAGCAGTAACGTGCTCATACTTACTGTCCCACATTGGTGTGCAGTCCTACACACCAGTGGGGAAATTTTGGGCACTAGGGGAATCAATGCCAGCTCCTTGGAGCCCATTGATTTCTGCAGTGCCTGGGATTTCTATGCACATGAATGAGAATATGTTGTCTGTACCCTTTTGGCACATTCAAACCCATGGGTAATGGACTTGCTTTAAATCCAAGTAATGTTTTTGTCAACCAAAGGCTACCAATGGCACTTGATTTACAACGTTATGAATATGTATGTTAGTCATCTGCATCTTTTATATCCCAACAACCCTTTCCTTCCTCTCCACGATTTTCTAATCGACATCCATATGTGCCCTCTACTTCTCACTTAATCTTATTAATGGTTTTTATCCCTTTAACCCCTTCACCCTGGCTAAGAAAAGTGTAAGGTTTTTAAATAATGCTCTGTTTCTTGCTCTAATTCTATTATCTTTCTTTGCATCTCCTTCCCTGCTACTTCCCTTTTAAAGAAGTCCATGAACCAGGTATGTGACTTCTGAATTCCTCTGCGTCAATCTGAAGGGTTATTGTGTGCTGGAAATTGAGTTCTGCTTGGCAATTTCACAATTGGGTCATGTGCTGAATTGGGACAAAATGGAAACTTTTCAAATAACCAACCAAAAAAAAAAAAAGCTTTGTTTGACAGCTATTGAAAATTATATTTTGTATTTAGTTAAAACATTTTGTTTCAACTTTTATTTTCCCTCTATGGAAGATTTCCAAATTTTGAAATGACAATTCTATTTTAGATACTTCTGAAGCATTGACTTTCTGGATAATGTGGGGTATATATAGTGTAATGCGAAATCAAATCTGGAATGAGAGATTGCCACGAGGCAAAAAGTGAAAAAGTTTTGTTCCAGAGATGTCAATATCTCTGCAACCTTTTATGGTTGTCAAATGGTTTCTACTATTTTTCCAACTAAAATCTTTGCTAAATCTACATGAAAATATGTTTTCTGTTGGAAAAAGATACCAGTAACTCTAATATTATACTCAGGAATTCAAAGAAGGTGGAAGAAAACATAAAATCAACTATTAATAATAAACTGTAACTTGCAGCTTCCTTACACCTTCCACCAGTCATAATTTCCTCCACTCTGTGATGCATAATAATGAGGACAAAGCTAACTGCTGCATGAAAAAATGCAATAACACTTTTTGCAGACAAACACCTCAATGTATAAGCTGTAATAATAGCCACTGACTGGACTCGGAGCTATCCTCACAGTGTGTATGGGACTGTTATAATGTTAATTACCTGGAAACGCATAAACTGAACTTGCAGTGTCCTCTAAACTGTCTGTGGAAATTATTCTGTGCCATTTGGAGTAGCTTTATCAAAGCAGTCACATCTCAGCAGTTGGAGTAGCTTTATCAAAGCAGTCACACCTCATCAACCACCCACCCCAGCTTTTTCACTCTGCTGTCCAGCACAAAGGGCGACCAGCCTCTTAGCTTAGACCAGATCGATGCTTTTGCCAGGGCTGGAGTGAGGTTAAAACTATCTGATTGATTTTTACGTGACTTAATACTTCAACATTCATCTATGCACTGCTTCTCATATCCCTTCTGTTCTCATTGCTTCTTGTTTCACATCCTTCTCTTTTCCTTTTAACCATATTCTTTCTTGTCTGTTAATCTGCACCTAAGGTTTTTCTGACTTAGATTTGCACAAGTTAAAGGTCATTGCTTCCATCCCAGCTGCTTTGCCTGCCCTGATATTTATTGAACTGCTACTCCTTACTTGAGTGTTGGTCTCAATCTTTGGCAGACATATGAGCCTGAAATTTGTGCAAAACACAAGATATTAACATAATCTGATAATCAATAAAGCCATGCAGCCTCCTTCTGTTTTCTTTTCCCCCTGTAACATAAAGCACAACAAAACTAAAAGCTTACAAATACAATGTAAACATAACAAGCTTAACAGAAAGCATTTATGACAGAAGGAGACTGTCCCAGCTTTTCATATAACTGCATGATTATTTAGTTTCTCTGTTACTAATGCTGTCTTTGCCTACCACATCTTCTAAGCAGCAGATTTGGCCTGCACAAGTTCAGAGTTGTTGCTGTTGTGGGATTATTGCTCTAACTTTTTTATGTTACCTGGTTGACTATTTCCACCAAACCAAGCACATGTTTGTGGCATCTAAATTCCTTTGTATTAATCTGAAGCATTCCTGTTACATAGGAGTTTGAAGATGTTGAAGAAAACCAGGATTATGAAGAATCAATCCATTCTTAAGATTCCCTAAAATTGATTTTCCATATAGGAAAGTATAAATATTGTCTATAGCTGAAGAATCACCTTCAAAGAGGCTTAGAAGAAACTTTTTTGTGCCCCTGAAAACTTTTAGGGCTGTGACTACACCACAGCCAGGACAGAGAGCAGGTACCTGAGCTGCAGAAACTCAAGCTGCTTCCACTCACAGGGAGTGGATTGCAGCAGGATCCTGGAATGCAGGCTCAAGCAGTTTCTAGTCCTTTGCAGCAGAGACAAGCTCTGTGTAGACCCAAATATTTCAAGTTCTGCAGAGAATCTGCCAGTGGTGATTCTTAGATGGTGCAGCTTCAGGTACAGGTATAGAGATACATCCGAAGTAGAACCTCCTTGCACTAACTCTCACATCCTCATGCCTGCTCTGATAGCTAAAAGAGCATGTACTTAGCTGACACCTAGGTAACTCTACATGCTTGTAAAACTCTCTTCTTGGGTATTTTTTCTTTTAAACTTAAGGATTCCCAGTGTCACTGCATTTGCCCATGGTTTATATATTTGCACGATTCAAACTGCCACAATTCATCAACATTCAAATTCCCTTTATCTTTTGTTTCTATGGCATCTGCTCCCTATGTACTTCACATACCACTGTAATTACTCTCCTTTTCCACTCTTATTAACAGTCTATCCCTATAACCTGGTCTGTAAATCATACTTCTTCAATCCAGTCTTACCAAAGTTTGAGGTGATTCCCTCCTGAATAACTTATTTCTAATTCTTTTATCTTCCTTTCCTGTGTGGTTCCCCTGACACTTCCTACTAAATGAAGCCCCCCCTCCAGGTATGTGATTTAACTTCTAAACTCCCTGGTGTCTGTCTGCTGGGATGGTGTGCGTGGGAAGTGAATACAAGGTGGCAGGGGATAACAACCTATCAGTTAATGATGGATTGTAACTTGCATGCCTTCGGGGTGGTTCTATTCTAGTTTAATGGTTTTTTCCTCAGTAATCAGCAGCAAGAAGGAGGAAACTGACCCGTTGCATGAAAATTTTACTAGAAATGAGGGGAACATGTATGCTACTGTGAAAGAATAGCTCAGCAAAAACTGTCCTTGTGGAATGGGCTAAATCCTGCACTATGATATGAGAATGAATGTTTCTTCCTATAGGGAAGTATTTATTTCAAATCTCAGGGCAGAATTTGACCCATTGACTCTACACACTGAGATTTTACATTACTTTTATGCCTCCTTTGCAAAAATATTCGGTGGTCTATGTATGGCTGAGAAGCAAAATCTGCCCCGCAAATCTGCATTGCTGATCTATTCTTGCTTTGCCAAAAAACCAGAAGAATGACATGTAGACCTGCACAGATTTTTAATGAACCTTTTCTTCCTATGAAGTAATCCATTTGTAAATCCTCATTGCAAATGGATGTGAAGAACAGCAGTACATTTATACAGATATCAAAGTTGTCTTCAAGGAAGAAAATGGCTTGAGCCATAGAACTAGAAGGGAACTGAGCTTCTTTGGAAGTTAGCTGAACGTTGATGATAAGTTACGGCAAGTAACTGAACCACACTTTATTTCAAATGCTGCTGTAGTAAAGGATGGATCCAATAGAGCTTTGGGAGTGCCAACTATGTTCATGTGCATATTTCAAATCAAGGTAAACCTTGGTACAATCTGCTGTCAGGTTGTGTGTTATGTCATATGATGCTTAGAAGTGTTTTTTAAGCACTGCACATATTGCCATAAATCTGCCTCTTTCACCTTTCCTGTCCTGTGACTTCTGTTTATATGCTATTCCAAATGCAATTCTTTTCCCTCAGGTTTACTTCTTAACTTCTAGCTTCCCTTTTCCTCTCTGCCCCTCCTCCCCTTTGGCTCAAAAGCTCTTTTGGTGTGTGAAGTAACAGGTTTCTTGTTCTCATTCTCTTGTTTTCCTTCGCAACTTGTTCCATGACACTTCACACCTGAAGTTCATGAGCCAGGTATGTGACACGACTTCTGGTTTACTCCACCTAGCTGCAACAAAAAATGTGCAGGTGTGTGTGTGTGAGAGAGAGAACAGGAGTCCTGGGCTGGTAGAAGAGAACAAAACAAGAGAAACAAATATTAACCACAATGATCATTTGCAGCCCTCTTCTCCTTTAACCTCCATGCTTACTACTATTTTAACCTTACAGCATCTTTAACTCCTGACAGTCTCTCCAGAGACCTTTTCTCCCTGCCTTAATTCACTAATTCCTGTATTTTTTCCCCCTTCATGCATTCCCTGGTCTCTTTCTCAGGCTTCCACGAACTTTAAATATCTGTTCTTTTTTTTTTTTCCTATTTCCTGTCTTTCCATCACTGCTTGCACCATGACACCAACAGAGGAAGCTCCTGAGGAAGGTATGTGATACACCTACAGACTCTCATCATTTTTCTCTTTCAGTGCTGAGGAAACAGTGTCAAAAACACTGATCTTGAACAAGAGCAAAGAGAGTATGGGAGGGACATGATCTCTCTGCATGGATTTAGAAGAATATGGAGAAAAGGGCTGTATGTTTGCCAAATCAGGTCACCAAAAAGGTGGTTTTTTTCTTGTTCAATATCCAGAGAGTCCAGGGTTCCCAGCGTAGCAGGGAGGGAGTGGGGACAGTTGCTCTTAGAACAGTGCTGGTTGTGGATTGACTATTGTGCTGCTTCTCTTTTGCTTTTATCCTTCAACCTACAGCTGAAGAAGAAGGCGAATACAATGATGGTAGCTCAATGTTGTCTTAGGACAACAAAGTCATCTTTCTAACATCTCACTCTCTTTTCTGTGTCTGTTTTTGTTCCTCACTTGATTTTAAATTCAGGAACTGGGCCAAAACATCTCTGCCGCAAAGAATCGCTCACTGTGCATATCCAATCACCCTTGGGGGGGGGTCACGGGCCAAAACATCTCTGCCGCAAAGAATTGCTCACTGTGCATATCCAGTCACCCTTGGGGGGGTCATTAGTTTATTGAGAAGCCTCTACATCCTCATTAGGATAGCAGATGGGGAAAATCAAGCTCTAGAAGCTTGTTCTGGACTTGTCTTTTAGCTGGAACCTGTTGTGCCATAGCTCTCACCAGCAAAACCTCTCTATCTCCCAAAAATCAGGAAAGAATCTCTTAAATCATAGTGGCAAATGGAGCTGAGCCCTGCATGGACAAGCCTTCCTCACTCAGCCTTAGCAGGTCATGGGCTCTAAGCCTGAATGTACAGAAATTTAAACTTCTGCTCAAGTCATGCGCTTAAAATTGTGCTAAAAATCAAACATGAAATTTAAACTTCTGCTCAAGTCATGCACTTAAAATTGTGCTAAACATCAAACGTGAATAAATTTATTCAGATGGGTGGGGCAGGCCATGGGCTTAAGATAGTCTGGCTGCAATACTTGGTTGAGTGAGCTCTGGAGCACACTGAGGGAGACAAGTCTCATGTACAAGGACCAAATATAAATATATGCTGGAAGCACACTGAGGGAGACAAGTCTCATGTGCAAGGACCAAATATAAATACATGCCGGGTCAGTCCTGCTCTTGTATGTGGGCAATATAATTTAGCCCTGCCTTGACCAGCTTAAATGTACAGAAAGACTATCACGGTTTTTTTATAGGCCTTTGAAGTGGATCAGTTATGTCCAGTCCCTAGAACACCCACCCAGCTGTTTCAAAAGACTAAGCCTAATGTCACTTGAAAACAACCTTCATTTTCTGTGTTTCCTTGTTTTGATTTGTTTTTTCTTTTGTGGATTTTTTTGGTTCGTTTTAATTTTTCTTGCTCGTTTTTCAGGCTTTTTTCTCATTTAGGGAAATACCCTGAGGACTTTCCTAAGCCACTCTCTCTCCTCCTTTTTCTTTCTTTCCTTTTCTTTTTAATAGCATATTGATTTTCTTTTCTTCCCAAGGACACAGTGTGAGTTAGATATGTTGCTTCTGAGAAGTAGGATTAATGGAGGGTGTTTAGGGATTGCTGAATGAAGTAAAGGCAGTTCAGATGGATTCACAGAGAAGAGGAGCACGGGGTGAATATCTCTTAGATTGGGCAGGAGAAAGCAGGGTGGTATTTATGGTGGTGTATCCTCTCCCTGCACTAAGCCTTTTGGAAACCAGAAACTCAGAGACTCTCCAATCACCAGGGCAGTGAACTTGGATTTCCAGTGTCTCTTGCCTTCTTTTGGCAGGGTTGTAAGTGGGGATTTTGTCTCAGCCCCATAGTTCATAGAATGAACAGAATGTCAGTCAAAATCCACCATAGGAACAGGAATTTGCTGTGACAATTCCTGCTTATCAACAAATTTTGGCCCAGTTCCTTGACTCAGTGTCTTGAAAGAAGGGGCATTTCAAAATAAATCCCATCCCTGGGCTGCTTTTGGTGCATACAGTATGGAACAATACTGGATCATGCACTGCAAAGGACACATTTATTTTTGAATTAAATATCCCCTTTTCTGGTTTTCTGAAGGCACCTTGAAGTATTCTAACGACGACTTCTTATTTCAAGAACAACTAACCGTGATTTTTCTTTTTATTTCTACAATTGTTTGTTGGTTTAATGAAGCTTAAAGTGCCGATTCAGTGGCAGCTGAAACCAAATTCACATAGTTACTGACAGACAGGTGTCGATCCTGGCAACAAACAAAACCAGTCATTTCCTGTCTACCTATTTTTTCCCCCCTCTCTTTGAAGTGTTACTAACTAGCAGCTTTAAGCTAAACAGGAATATTTAAGAAAACTATCAGGGCATGTCATGAAGGAGGGGACTCCTGTATAAATAACATCCCTGACAGACTGGTTAATCATGATAACTTTTCCTCTTTCCAGGTGAAAGGCAGTTTAACTCATGTGTTAAGAAGTTCACTGGATATTTGAAAAGCAAAACAATTAAACAATCCTTTAATACATTATTATATACAGAAGCATGCTGCTGGCTAATGATATTTTCCTTCAGGAGAGATTTGTTACTTCCTTAGAACAATCTAAAACACTTTTCTAATTACATGCTGTTTATTTTATAAGCATTGCTCTGGCATCTTAGAGGCCTCAACCGAGATATGTTTGGGTAGGCAGTGTGTTCTTGCAGTACATGAGGAAAATCTCACGTACTCCCCCACAAATGTCAATGAAATTTGTATGGGAAAGGGTGAGAGAAAGGAGAGGTTGGTTTCTGATCTCTTCTATGCACCTCTTATGTCTTTTCTCTCGACTATCTCAATAATCTATTTCCAGCCACTCTCAATTTTTTATCACCCAACAACCTTACAAATTATTGCCTCCATTAAATATTTTCCAGTGTAAATATTTTTTCTGCTTTTCCCTCTTATAATGTTTCATTTTATTTTGTCCTACTCTGTTCCATTTGCTATTCCCAGTTGCCTCCCCAAAACAGCTGGATGCAAATAAGCATTTGAAAAAAATATGACAGTTTTCTTTATCATGATATGGATAACAGGGTCCTGCACCCACTCCTGAGGAGGCTGTTTTTACTTTACAAATCTGTTTTTTTTAAACCAGATTCCATAGGCTGAGCTTTCTTACCTCAGTTCCTCCCACTGAGACAACACAGGAAAAGTCTTGTACTGCAGAATCCATCAGCATCCCTGAAAATTCAAATGCAGTGTGTGGTTATGAAAGTCAGCCTGGGTCTCTGAGAGAATGGGACAGAATAAACACATAGGTTTAATTTACTTCTGTTTGTGAGAAAAACAGTGCTGAACTTGCTGGCATTACACTGGAGTTAATAACTAAAGTTTAAAAAGCATAGCAGGGAGGGGAATTGATCAAAAGCACAAATGTTAAGCAAGTAACTCATAAGACCAGCACATTGCAGAGAGCCAGGGAAAGGTCACTTGTTGCAAGGCAAAATTTCTGACTGCTGGAGGGCCCAAGCTGACAGTCTCTGTGATGGTTTAGCCTGCCTATCAGAGCATTATACTTCTCCTGGAGATGCAAATATCATTCCCATTAATGGACATGGGAATTTTGCATGTACCTCAGCAGGAGATTATGCTTGCTAAGAGAGGATGGCCTTTCCAAGCTGGGTTTGAGGAGCACCACACAGTGCAGAAGAAAAAGCATATTCCCCATGGCACCAAGGTATCTCAGGGACATCTGTCCTAAGCTGTCTTGGAAGCCAACGAACCTGGAGAAAATGTGTGCCATAAAGCTTTTTCCCTCCTGGCCTCCTTATGAGGCACTTGACCAAAACTAGTGAAGCCTAAGGTATCATTGAGATGACTATAAATTCAGGTTAACTTTAGCAAAAGAAGTGCTGAATGAAGAAGGCAACATTTTCTTCTACCCTCCAGCCCAGCTGTCCTCCTTAGAGCTTTGGTCAGGATGGTTTGAGAAAAAAAATGTTGGATTTACCTGAAACCATTGCTTTCCAGATGCTATGTTTGGGACTTTTATACAGTCTCTTCATTCTTTTCTGCCAAAGTCTGTTTCAAGGGTAAAAACAGATTCACTCCTAGCAAAAGGGGTGTGTGAGTGTGTGTATTTCTTTTGGAAGTGCTTGAGATTTAATCGGTTTCTCTGAGATGTTTCCCCTAAGATTAAATTTCCCTTCCCTCCTTCTACATTAGCAGCTGGCATGATCTCTGTTGTTTTAACTTTCTCCCTCTTTTTCCCTTCCTGTTTTGCTCCATGCTTCCAAATACAGAGGAGAAGCCCAGAATAAAGTAAGTATGAGGGGCAGGGATTTTCAAAATCCTGGGATCATTTTTTTGATCTAGCAGAAGTCGTTAGATTGTCTATTTGGTGAATGGCCACTACAAGCCTTTATCCAACTCTCCCTCATGCAACATCCAGCTGTTCCCTCATGCCTTTCCAGGATGTCTGCTTCTTTCTGAGGATGCCTTAGCAGCAGTTACGGGCCTGGGTCTTAAGACCAGTTCCTGATAGAGTCAGACAACTTGTGAACTGTCCAAGATCCAGTGGTTTCACAGTACCCCTGAGATATAGGCAACTCAGCAGTAAGTCCTCTATAAGAGGCCATGGCTGGGAAACTACCCATCCATCCAGGACTGCTGACAGTAGGAAGGGTGACAAATGCTGGGCTGGGATGAGTTGAGCTTAACTGAGGTTTCACGTGGACCTGCTGGTTCTGGTGCCCAGCACCTTCCCCTCCTACTCTGCCAGCTGCCCAGCATGGAGTGGACAGCACTGCGCAGACAGCCTTGCAGACCAACATCATCTGTGTGGTAGGGAATGACCATAGGCTTTGGAAATGAAAAGAGTTTTTAGGGGTAACTCCCTGCCCTGTATGACCTTCCAGGAAGGATGGTGGTCCTTAGTGCTATTTTGGAGTAGTTTTCCATTGACTTGCTGTTTCACCCCTCTGTATCTCCACCAACATTCCTCCTTGTCAGCATCATCCCTGAGGGCAGGTCAGGTTAGGCTGGGACATGCTATTTAAAAAGCTGCTTGTTCTTTAAGATGAAAATCCTTTAATTTTCTTTTATTTTCTTTTTGTTTTGCTTTTGACTCTCTGCAGACTAACTGCTCCTAAAATACCAGAGGGTGAGAAAGTAGATTTTGATGTAAGTATTCCTGAGACTGGCTGTGTTTGTCTGTCTGTACCTGACCCAGACAGGTGCGTGCAAACCTGCATAACTCCTCCTGTATTGGATACTGCTGAGGATAAAGTCAAGAACAAAAATACGGTTGTCTTGCCACTTGTTTTCAGTGAAAGGCCACTCTCTGCTCCCTGAAACTCTCTGGATGCATTAATTGATGATGTGATTAAGCTAAAATCATGTATTTCTTTTTTTCTTCTCCTTGAATCTTTGAAGCGAGTATAAGAAGGAGAAAGTAAGTGTTTTAGGAGATCTCTGATTCCCTGTCCCATTGTTTTAAGTCACAGGCCCTCATCTGTTGCTGAGAAACACTTCAATAATAAATAGAGATCCAAATACCTTTCTAGAAAGTTGATAGTAAAATGAAGAAATTCGGGTGTTGAAAACCTCCACAGAAATATCTGTTTTGCCAAAAATGCAGAAATATTTTCTAGTTAAGATTATTATTCCAAAGTAAAGAGGAGGCAGCTAAGTCTACACAAAGATAGGTATGTAAGCAAAGCCAGGGAAAAAATATGGTGTTAGGGGAATGGGAGATTTGGATTCTTTGCCCTTCTGACTTTCATTTGAATGAGCCTCTGATTGCACCAACAGCCATTTAAGCTAATCCCATAGATTTCCATGGATATCTACAGACACTTTATGCTTTTCTTTCTCTTTGTATGCAGGGTGCTGGGAATGTTGAGGGCATACTCCTAGAGCAATATGTACTTAATGCATTTTCCTGCTCTTCTAGGACATCCAAAAGAAAAGGCAGAACAAAGACCTGATTGAACTGCAGGCCTTGATTGACAGCCACTTTGAAGCCAGGAGGAAGGAAGAGGAAGAGCTGGTCGCCCTCAAGGAGAGGATTGTGAGTCTTTGTACTGCCATTTCCCTGTACTAGACTGAGAGATCATCTGTAGATAAGAAGCTGAAGCCATTAGTCCACTGTCAGAATTCAACAGAAAGCTGTACTGCCTTGTATAGAAGTGGCTGCTCAAGTCACCATCAAATGGCTTCTCCCAACATCGGTCCCTTCTGTCAGCCTCTTGTTTCATATCTGGGAATTGTACATGAGACCCTTCTGCATGTTCTAGCAAGGGAGAAGATGGCTCACTCTCTATGAACCAAAGCGCTGGTAGTGGCATGTAATAGTGGAGGCAGCTAAAGCCACAATGATGATTCAATGCCTCTGCCACTTGCAGGAGAAGCGCAGAGCGGAAAGAGCAGAACAGCAGAGAATCCGGGCTGAGAAGGAGAAGGAGCGTCAGGCAAGGCTTGCAGTAAGTGTCTTTGCTTCTCTCTCCTTGTCTCAACATCAAAGTGGAGATCTCTAGAGACAGAAGAACACAGGTTCTGACTGTCTCAGGCTGAAGATGATATGACCACCCTCTGAAAGCAAGGGCAGAAAACAGGAGTTGCCAATTCTCATCAATAAACTTCTCTGATCACATTCCCTGCAGTGACACTGGCTGCTAGGGAAGCTGGGAGTCTCCCCTAGAGTAACTTGTTCTGTGTGTTGCACTCCACAGGAGGAAAAGGCACGGAGAGAGGAAGAAGATGCCAAGAGAAAGGCTGAGGATGATCTGAAGAAGAAGAAGGCTCTGTCTTCCATGGGTGCAACATACAGCAGTTATTTGGCTAAGGTAAAACTCATGGATTGAGGGAAGAAATATGAAAACATTAAACCATTGGGTTGACTAGGAACAGACTTTATTAGAAGTTGAGAAAACAGCCCAAATCTCCTTCTTCTGGATCCCCAGCAACTTGTCTTACATGCTTTGTCACTAAAATCCTTTTATTCAGGCCTTAATTTCTGCAGTCTGACTTTAACTGATATTCTGAAAATAGGCTGATCAAAAGAGAGGAAAGAAGCAAACAGCTAGAGAGACTAAGAAGAAGGTCCTGGCAGAGAGGCGCAAGCCCTTGAACATTGACCATCTTAATGAAGACAAGCTGAGGTAATGTGCCTATCCTAACTTACTGAATGTAATCCACTAAAATTTGGTCTTACTGTCCTTCTCTAGTGACAAAATGAGGTAGAGGAGTGGACCTGCCTTGAAATTCATCACAGAACACTGTTAAGCTGTGCCCTTCCTTGACCTGGAGAACGTTGTGGAAATAGGGATGTAGGGAAGTGTTGAAATGGTTTGGTAGCCACCTAGCCATGCTCCTGGCACAGCTCGGTTAGTCAATCCTGCTAGTTAGGATTAGCCATTTACAGGTCTAGCTCTGAGATTAATTAGTTGAACAAGCCTACAGACTGGTATTCTGTAGCACTCCCATGGATGTAGCTCACTCTGGATAAGGTATGAATATGGATCTCCATGAAGGCTGAATGTTTGGAAGATGAGTGCTCTGGTGCAGAGCAGTCATCAGATGATAGTCTGGACTGCACATGTTAGAGTTCATACATGATTGAAAGATGAGGTTGGCTCACCTCAGCCCTGACACAGATGACATTGCACAGTGGCAGCTGTTTGCTTATCTGGGTGACCTTCAGAGTCTTCCTTCCTTCTCATCTGATTCCACTGGAGTCTTATCTTTCATTAAGAGTTAGGGAGAAAATTAGAGGAATTATGTTAATGTGTGACACATGCAAGACTGCAAGTCTAAAAGGTTTGTGGGGAGAAGGTGAGAAAAATGTGACCTTGAAAATGGTGAGTAGCTTTCGGAGAACAGAAAGAGTTTACAGGGTGATGTGTGAACTTCAGTAAATAAAATGTAAAAAACCTCATTACTAGTGATTTGAAAACCATGGAAAATGTCTCATGTCATGTGTTTCTCCCATCTTCCTTTCCCCATAAACACACAGGGACAAGGCTAAAGAACTTTGGGACTGGTTATATCAGCTGGAGACTGAAAAGTATGACTTTACAGAGCAGATCAAGAGGAAAAAATATGAGGTGAGTTGAGAGGCCACTTTGCTAATGGCACTGGGTCCAAAATGTAGAAATGTCTGTGATTCCTCTGGCAAAACCGTATTGTGACATGATATGGGTCTACGATGCCCATTTGCAATATTTAAGCAGCAAGGTGCTTGGAACTGCATTCTCCTAACATACATACTCCAACTGGATTTCACATTTTAGGGTGAAATTGAATAGATCACTCTCAAGATTTTCAGTGCCCATGGGAAGGCAATCCCAATGGAAAATGGACTCCCTGCCCTCTGCTGAAACACATCTTTTTCATTCTTGTTTATCTATAGGAAACTGTGGCCTGAAAATTCAGTAACTCTCAATTCACTCATCTCTGTTGCAAAGTAATATTTTTATATCTGTCTTTGATTTAAAACTTGAACATTCTAAGCTGTATTCCATCCCAGACAGATTACCTATGGACTGAGCTCTCTGGAGTCACTGAAAACTGTCTCCAGACAGGAGCATCTGACTGAAATGTCATGGTAACAGAAAGTGCACATTTCCTTCATGAAGTCATTGGGCAGGGCTGCACTCATCCGCATCAGGTTTCAATGGCTGAGAAATCCTACTGGATCTCTCTCTGTCTCGCTCTCCTTTTAATCCCCAATCACACAGACACATCCTGACAGGGAGTGAGCAACACCAATATAACTATCTCAATCTCTCTTAGATTTTAACACTGCGTTGCAGGCTGCAGGAGCTTTCCAAGTTGTAAGTACAATGAACTTGCCTGTGTAAAAGCAGCAGCAAAGGCTATCAAATGCATGAGCCTGCCGCATGGTCAGAGGCCAGGTCCCAGATGGAAACTGGCACTTGGCTCCAAGTGCAGAGAGAAAAGAGAAAACTGGGTCTTGTATCTCTCCATTCGCTTCCTTTTTCTCTCCCTTTCCATTCTTTGAAAAGATATAAAGCAGTAATTTAGCGAAAGAGTCAAGAGTCCAATAAGGATGTGGCTAAAAACAGAGCATGCAACCCACTCAGAACACCACTAAAATTATTCCCTATCCAAACCTCTGGTATTGTGTGCATAGGGGTGTCACCCTAATGCACTTGGGATACACATAAAAACTTAGGGACACATGCATAATAGCTTAGACTTCACAAAAAAAAGAATGGTATGGGGTTTGGAAAGCTTCTCCACCTTGTGGCACACCGTTATCCAGATCCAAAATATTGGAGAGGGCAAGCTTAAGGGTAACAGGTCAAGTGGGTATGGAAAAACAGGAAATAAGGCAGTGCCGGGGTGGGGTACATGCTATGGTAATGAAACCATTGCATAAACAAAGAGATGGGTGCCTGCTGATGAAAAGCAGGGAGAGAAAGTACAAAGAATGAGAAAAGCAGAAGGAAAATGCACAGCTAATATGGGAGGAGAAAAGTGGAAAAACAAAAGGAAGATGATAGCAGAAAAAGGTTGAGGAGAAAAGTAAGTGAAAATAGCAAAGACCATGAAGGAGACACAAATAAGGATGCAAGGGAGAGACAAAGGAAGGAACTGGGACACAGAAGTGGAGCAATTGTTTAGCTCTAGTGTCTGTTGCTCTTTGGTGCATCATTGGAGAGTGAGTGTCATAGTCATGATCACAAGGTTATCACTGAAGGTAAGTCTTAAGTCCTTGGGTCAAACTGAAGACAACTGGTTCTCCTCCACACTCGGGAAAAATACTTGGTTGCATAAAACCAATTTATTCTGCTGCAGCAGATACTAAAGCTTCCACAAGTAAGTACAAAAGCAAGTGATCTGTTGATCTTTCCTTCCTTGTGTTGTCCTGTTCATGGTAATGTTTCAGTCTCTTATTTGTTTCTGTTTGCCATGGAAAGACATGAGCCAGGAAATACCAGTTTTGGGGATGATATGAATGTATGACTTTTGTTTTTCTTGTTTTGCACATGGGGAATGTCAAGTCCCACTTTAAATATTCAAATTTGACATCACCATTTCTTGGACCTGCAGAGTCAGTGCAGAAGTTTGAATTGCATCAAAAGCAGAAGCAAAGTATACATCATGGCAAGGGCATTTTTTCAGTCCATGGAAACTAGGTAGAACCCTGACTCAGTTACAAATGAGAAGGTGAAGGGGCAAAAGAGGGCTCTCTATCACATCTTAGAGTTCTTGTAGGCTTTTCCCATACCTGAGCTGGAAGAGTCCCAGGATTTCAGTAGCAAGTCCAGGCCTACAGACCAGGACTGAGGTGCTAAGTCAGGCCATAAGGTGCTCATCCTGTGCAAGGTAGGTGTTTGCTTTCTTATGCATTAGGTTGAAATATGCAGTTTACTCATAGCTAAACAAAGAGATGCTTCATCTTGGAGGACAGATGCTCTAAAGGCTTGCAGTCATCAACAGAGCTTGGGAAGGTCTTCAGAGCCCCCACGTCTGCCTTTTTCTCTATTGTTGCTGAGGCTCTGCTTGAATATTTTCTTCTTCAGCCCCTTTAAAAGTCATCCTCTGTTATTAGATGAGTGGCTGGGAAGGTGGTGACTGCTGCAAGCTTCTCACCTCTTGCTCTGCCAGCCAGCAAAAGTACTCCAGCAGAGTGTGACACCCATCTTCCATTCTCAAGGTCCCCATCCAAAGACCACTGAACCTCTTTGAGCTTACACACTTGCCAATGTGTAGGAGTAAGGGAGAAGGTGAAGGTGACACATGCAGGTGGTGGAGCCATCCAAGAGCCTTCCAGCTGGCCAGGGTGACACTCATTGAGGTTCACTTGCCTGCAGTTTGACATGTGTATTCATAGGAGAATAATTTCAACACATAGAAACTCTTCTAGTAGGGGTTATAAAATTCTAGCTCTTCTTTCCCTTGACATATGAAGTTGGCTTGCAGATTTATTGCCAAGAAGCAACATTTCTCTCCTTCAGCCATGGGTGAGCTTTTATTTTAAAGGAAGTATAAATTCCTACTATAGGCACCTGTTTCCAGCACTTCAGCAGGTAAAACTCCATGAGGGAACAAGGTTTCTCTATCTCTAAAAACCCTGGTCATGTATGTTGTTTGCAGATTGTCACCCTCAGGAACCGGATTGATCAGGCCCAGAAGCAGTAAGTACTTATATCCCCTTCCTAGCTCATGGCTTGGGGATATCTTCTCAGTGTTCAAATTAGTCACTTCAGCCTCAAGACCAACATTTTCTTGCTGCAATGAAATGGGGCTAGAGATAGAAGGACAACTTCCATCCTGCCTCTCATTGAGAAAATGAAGGGGAAACTGAAGTGAATGTAACACCTAACACAAAAAAAATAATGTTTCTTCACACCATGTCTTCAAAATTTCCACCTGGTTATTGGATTTTTCAACACCTGACTGAGGTGCTTTGAATACTCAAGTGAATACAACCTTTGTTTATGAAGAGTAAACAAGTGGTTGCTAAGATTACAAGGAATGGTGTGTAACAAGACTAACATAATGGCATTACTGTTGTGAGTTCTTTTCACTTGTCTCTCACTTTCCTTCACCGTGAGACTATGACATTAGACTTTTTTGAGCCTTGTATCTTTAATTATTCTAGATGTTTTTAATGAACTTATGAGAGAGCAAGGCTAGATAAAGCCTGGGGGCTAGGACATGTAGAAAACTAGCAGCCACAGAGAAGGAACTGCAGGGAAGCAAGGGAGGAGGGCTCTCCAGTGGTGGGATTTGATCTTCTCTATGTTTCTGTATCTTCTTAGCAAAGTCATGCCAGGAATGAAGCAGTGGTCTTTGGTGACATCTTTGGATGACAGAAGTGACCAGACACTGCCTTCCCACTTCCCTAAGACACGCTCCCTTATCAGCTGAATATAACACTGGGGGCTTGTTTGTTTGTAGATGCCAAACACAATGCTTGACCTTCCCGTGGTATTTTCTGTACAGAGCTGTAGGCTGATAAACCTCAGCAGAATGTGCAGCTGTAGAAGGATGCCATGGTTTGTCTGGGTGTTGCTGCTCTTGAGAGGCACTGCCACACCACCCACAACAGGCTACTGCATGCTTGTTTCCCCAAAAGATAATGATACTCTCCCAGGACACCATTTGAAAAGGCTGCACTGAGAAGCCCACAGCTCATGAGATTTCTGTGTACTTAAACTTCTATCCACACTAGACACTATCATTCCAAAGCAAGGCCTGCTAATGAATTACACAAGGATAAAGTGAGTCTTCTGCTTCAGATTTCATTAAGTCTCTTTAAGCACACTCTAAAGGTTAGACTTAACATCAAACATCACAGGTGCTTGTGGAGACAAAAGGACTCTGCCTTTGTTTGAGGAGCTATGTAGTTCCTGTACTGTGGTTTGACCCTGCAGAACAGCTGGCAAAAGGGACATTAATTCAAGATAAGCAGAAAATGCATGCTCTCTCTCATGTCAAAGGCCATTTTTTTTTTTCAAATAGACCAAGCCTAACTTGGTCAAAAGGTAAAGTATCCATTATATGTCTGTCTGTCACTGCTACATCCTTCTGTAAATATGGCTGGTGCTCTTGAACCAATCCACAGCAGCACAACAAAAATCTCCCTGGATGTGACAACCCTGTGTGTTTGTGCTCCCTGGAGGAACCAGAGGTTCCGAAGGAAGCACTCTCTGTTACTAGCAAGGTCCCATCACCTTGTACTTGGCCCTCAGTCCCATGCTCTGCCATGTCAGAGAGCTG